AACCATGTCATCCCACCAATCAACCATGTCATCCCACCAATCAACCATGTCATCCCATCAATCAACCATGTCATCCTAAAAAATGAAACATGTTACCCACTAATCAAACATGTCATCCCACCAATCACCCATAGGTCGTCTGTGTCATGATATGTCCCCCCACTTTGCTTACAACACATTAACTAGCGAACATCTCATCTCTATCCAATTCTCTGTTTCCCCTCCCCCCAATCACCCAAAAGTCTTGACATCCCCCCCTCCCCCCCCCCCCGGGCTTTAAAACACATTAACTCTCTCCTTCCCCATCCAGAAAATCAACGACACCTCGCACAAACTGATCCACCAGAAGTCGCTCCTTGCCGAGGCGATCGCCAACGCCGAGGGACTTTTCAAGAACCTGACGGGGTGCGTCAAGGAGCTGAAGCAGGTCTACAGGTCCCTGGAGGTCTCCGAGGACGCCGTGGCGGAGCGGACCAACATCATCCGACATTTGGACAACCTGGTGCGAGGCTTTGAGCGACTGTTTAGGCTGGACATGCATCCACGGTCCATGGCCTGCCTGCTTGCTTGTCCACGGTCCATTGCCTGCCTACTTGCTTGTCCGCGGTCCATTGACTGTATACTTGCTTGTCCACGGTGCATTGCCTGTATACTTGCTTGTCCACGGTCCATTGCCTGTCTACTTGCTTGTCCACGGTCCATTGCCTGTCAACTTGCTTGTCCACGGTCCATTGCCTGCCTACTTGCTTGTCCACAGTGCATTGCCTGCCTACTTGCTTCTCCACGGTGCATTGCCTGTCTACTTGCTTGTCCACGGTCCATTGCCTGCGTATTTGCTTGTCCATTGCCTGTCTACTTGCTTGTCCATGGTGCATTGCCTGCCTACTTGCTTGTCCGCCTACTTGCTTGTCCACGGTCCATTGCCTGTCTACTTGCTTGTCCACGGTCCATTGCCTGCCTATTTGCTTGTCCACGGTCCATTGCCTGCCTACTTGCTTGTCCACAGTCCATTGCCTGCCTACTTGCTTCTCCACGGTGCATTGCCTGTCTACTTGCTTGTCCACGGTCCATTGCCTGCCTACTTGCTTGTCCACGGTCCATTGCCTGCCTACTTGCTTGTCCACGGTCCATTGCCTGCCTACTTGCTTGTCCACGGTCCATTGCCTGCCTACTTGCTTGTCCACGGTCCATTGCCTGCCTACTTGCTTGTCCACGGTCCATTGCCTGCCTACTTGCTTGTCCACGGTCCATTGCCTGCCTACTTGCTTGTCCACGGTCCATTGCCTGCCTACTTGCTTGTCCACGGTCCATTGCCTGCCTACTTGCTTGTCCACGGTCCATTGCCTGCCTACTTGCTTGTCCACGGTCCATTGCCTGTCTACTTGCTTGTCCACGGTCCATTGCCTGCCTACTTGCTTGTCCACGGTCCATTGCCTGCCTACTTGCTTGTCCATTGCCTGCCTACTTGCTTGTCCATTGCCTGTCTACTTGCTTGTCCACGGTACATTGCCTGCCTACTTGCTTGTCCACGGTCCATTGATTGTCTACTTGCTTGTCCACGGTCCATTGCCTGCCTATTTGCTTGTCCACGGTCCATTGCCTGTCTACTTGCTTGTCCACAGTCCATTGCCTGCCTAATTGCTTGTCCATTGCCTGTCTACTTGCTTGTCCATTGCCTCTCTACTTGCTTGTCCACGGTCCATTGCCTGTCTATTTGCTTGTCCACGGTGCATTGCCTGTCTATTTGCTTGTTCACGGTGCATTGCCTGTCTATTTGCTTGTCCACGGTGCATTGCCTGTCTATTTGCTTGTCCACTGTGCATTGCCTGTCTATTAGCTTGTCCACGGGGCATTGCCTGTCTATTTGCTTGTCCACGGGGCATTGCCTGTCTATTTGCTTGTCCACGGGGCATTGCCTGTCTATTTGCTTGTCCACGGTGCATTGCCTGTCAACTTGCTTGTCCACGGGCCATTGCCTGTCAACTTGCTTGTCCACTGTCCATTGTCTGTCTACTTGCTTGTCCATTGCCTGTCTTCTTGCTTGTTCACGGTGCATTGACTATGTCAACTTGCTTGTCCAATGTCCATTGCCTGCGTCTACTTGCTTGCCCATTGCCTGTCTACTTGCTTGTCCATGGCCTGTCTATTTGCTTGTCCACAGTGCCGATCGTACGCCAAGACCATCTATGTCCAAGACAGCGAGAACGAGTCGCTGGTGGTCAACTCAAAGAAGTTGGAGCACCTCCTGAAGAAGTCCAAGGAGAACATGCTGGCCCTCAGGCAGAAGAACGCCGATGCTGCAACCGATGCGCACCTGCAAGCGGTAAGGTAGACTCATAATATCCTGTACCATAGATACCATAGTATCACGTACCGCAGTACCAAGTAACATGCACGTTATTACTAAAGTATCATGTACCACAGATACCATAGTAACTTGTACCACAGATACCATAGAATCATGTATCACGGATACCATAGTATCATGTACCACATATATCATAGTATCATTTATCGCAGATACCATAGCATCATGTACCATGGATACCATATTATCATTTACCACGGATACCATAGTATCATGTACCACAGATACCATATTATCACGTACCGCAGTACCAAGTATCATGCACGTTATTACTAAAGTATCATGTACCACAGATACCATAGTAACTTGTACCACAGATACCATAGAATCATGTATCATGGATACCATAGTATCATGTACCACATATATCATAGTATCATTTATCGCAGATACCATAGCATCATGTACCATGGATACCATATTATCATTTACCACGGATACCATAGTATCATGTACCACAGATACCATATTATCACGTACCGCAGTACCAAGTATCATGCACGTTATTACTAAAGTATCATGTACCACAGATACCATAGTAACTTGTACCACAGATACCATAGAATCATGTATCATGGATACCATAGTATCATGTACCACATATATCATAGTATCATTTATCGCAGATACCATAGCATCATGTACCATGGATACCATATTATCATTTACCACGGATACCATAGTATCATGTACCACAGATACCATAGTATCATGTACTATGGATACCATAGTATCATGTACCACGGATATCGTAATATCGTATCACAGATACCATATTATCATATACCAGGGAGATAATTAGCATATGTACCATTAGATACCATAGTGTCATGTACATGGAATATAACTAGTTACTTGTACTATATATAATTATTATCGCATACAAGATTATAATTAGAATCATGTAAAAAGGGATATAATTAGTATCATATACAAGGGATATAATTAGCGCCGCCGTTTACAATGGATATTGTTATGAACTGGTGTAGGGCGTGTTTTCGGTTTCGGTCAGAGGCGTAGCGAAGGGGGGGGCACAGTTGTCCCCGGTCGCCAGCTAGTTAGGGGCGCCAAAATGTGCTTTGATATCATTTTATAAATGAAAATAATGGGTTGGGGAGTTAAAAAAAGAAAAGAGGGCGCTTTAAAGGGAATCTTGTCCCCGGGCGCGAAACTTGTCCCCGGGCGCCAAACACTCTAGCTACGCCTCTGGTTGGGGTACGGAGTAGTTCAGAGGGCCAGCTGTGTTTGGTCCGGTTATGAAGGCCAGTGCATATTAGATGTGAATACATGTCTTGTAATGGCCAGCCGTGATTTGTCCGGTTATGAAGGCCAGTGCATATTTGATGTGAATACATGTCTTGTGTTGTCCAGCCGTGATTGGTCCGCTTATGAAGGCCAGTGCATATTTAATGTGAATACATGTCTTGTGAGGGCCATCCGTGATTGGTCCGGTTATGAAGGCCAGTGCATATTTGATGTGAATACATGTCTTGTGAGGGCCAGCCGTGTTGGTCGGGTTATGGCAGGCCAGTGCATATTTGATGTGAATACATGTCTTGTGAGGGCCAGCCGTGTTGGTCCGGTTATGAAGGCCAGTGCATATTTGATGTGAATACATGTCTTGTGATGGCCAGCCGTGATTGGTCTGGTTATGAAGGCCACTGGATATTTGATGTGAATATATGTCTTGTGATTGGTGCGGGTTATGAAGGCCAGCCGTGTTGGTCCGGGTTATGAAGGCCAGCCGTGTTGGTCCGGTTATGAAGGCCAGCCGTATTTGTCCGGTTATGAAGGCCTGCCGTGTCGGTCCGGGTTATGAAGGCCAGCCGTGTCGGTCCGGTTATGAAGGCCAGCCCTGTTGGTCCGGTTATGAAGGCCTGTCATGTTGGTCCGGTTATGAAGGCCTGCCGTGTTGGTTCGGTTATGAAGGCCAGCCGCTTTGGTCTGGGTTATGAAGGCCTGCCGTGTTGGTCCGGTTATGAACGCCAGCCGCTTTGGTCTGGGTTATGAAGGCCTGCCGTGTTGGTCCCGGTTATGAAGGCCTGCCGTGTTGGTCCCGGTTATGAAGGCAGCCGTGTTGGTCCGGTTATGAAGGTCAGCCGTGTTGGTCCGGTTTTGAAGGCCTACCGTGTTGGTCCGGTTCAGTGCAGATGTGTAAATCGTTAGAGTCCCCTGGGGCCTCCCTTTTTTTTTTTTGACTTATTAAAGGTTGTACTTGTGTAGTTGTAAATAAAGAACTGATATGGGTTATGTGCAATGAGCGCGGCTCTACTCGTTGTTATTATGTGGGGTCGGACAGGAGTCAAAGTGAAACTTTTTTTTTACGGACGCTATGTCGGGGGTGGGCACTCATCAATTCTGTGGCAATTTAAATATATATATATCTTGCTGAAAGCAAAGTAGGGGGGGAGGAGTGGAGGCGCCAGTCTCCTGGAACCTTCACAGGCCATCTACGCCCATGGGGACGGAAGAAGGCACGATACGCCCATAGGGACGGAAGAAGGCACGATACGCCAATGGGGACAGAAGAAGGCAAGATACGCCCATAGGGACGGAAGAAGGCACGATTCACCCATGGGGAAGGCAAGATACGCCCATAGGGACGGAAGAAGGCACGATTCACCCATGGGGAAGGCAAGATAAGACCATAGAGCTTCAATATACTGTGTTGTTCCCCAACACAAATTTGAGTCTAACACACTGTCTGACAGCAGTGCTATCAAACTGCCCGGCAGCAGTGCTATCAAACTGTCTGGCAGCAACGGCTATCAAACTCCCCGATAGCAGTGCTATCAAACTATCGGGCAGAAGTGCTATAAAACTGTCTGGTAGCACTGCTATCAAACTCCCTCACAGCAGTGCTATCAAACTCCCCGACAGCAGTGCTATCAAGCTGTCTGGCAGCAGTGTTATCAAACTGTCCGGCAGCAGTGCTATCAAACTGTCTGGCAGCACTGCTATCAAACTCCACCACAGCAGTGGTATCAAACTCCCCGACAGCAGTGCTATCAAACTGTACGGCAGCAGTGCTATCAAACTGTCTGGGAGCAGTGCTATCAAACTGTTTGGGAGCACTGCTATCAAACTGTCTGGCAGCAGGGCTATCAAACTACCCGACAGCAGTGCTATCAAACTGTCTGACAGAAGTGCTATCAAACTCTCTGGCAGCATTGCTATCAAACACCACGACACCAGTGCTATCAAACTGTCCGGCAGCAGTGCTATCAAACTGTCTGGCAGCAACGGCTATCAAACTCCCCGACAGCAGTGCTATCAAAGTATCGGGCAGAAGTGATATAAAACTGTCTGGTAGCACTGCTATCAAACTCCCTCACAGCAGTGCTATCAAACTCCTCGACAGCAGTGCTATCAAGCTGTCTGGCAGCAGTGCTATCAAACTGTCTGGGAGCAGTGCTATCAAACTGTTTGGGAGCAGTGCTATCAAACTGTCTGGCAGCACTGCTATCAAACTCCCCCACAGCAGTGGTATCAAACTCCCCGACAGCAGTGCTATCAAACTGTACGGCAGCAGTGCTATCAAACTGTCTGGGAGCAGTGCTATCAAACTGTTTGGGAGCAGTGCTATCAAACTGTCTGGCAGCAGTACTATCAAACTGTCTGGCAGCAGTGCTATCAAACTGTCTGGCAGCAGTGCCATCAAACTGTCTGGCAGCAGTGCTATCAAACTGTCTGGCAGCACTGCTATAAAACTCCCCGACAGCAATGATATCAAACTCCCCGACAGCAGTGCTACCAAACTGTCTTGCAGCAGTGCTATCAAAATGTCTGGCAGCAGTGTTATCAAACTGTCTGGCAGCAGTGCTATCAAACTCCCCGACAGCAGCGCTATGAGACTGTCCGACAGCAGCGCTTATCGAACTACCAGGCAGTAGACTCATCTACTTCGGTAGGTTTGTTACACATACTAGTAGTATCATATGCAATGGATTCATTTACTTTGAGGAGTTGTTTCAGGGCTGAAGTTAAGTAGTCCAGATGTCACTGTCTTGGACTGTCCACAGGAGTTGTTCCAGGTGACAACTTAAGTAGGTCACTGTCTTAGGTTGTCCACAGGAGTTGCTCCAGGTGATAAGTTAAGTAGATCACTGTCTTGGACTGTCCACAGGAGTTGTTCCAGGTGACAAGTTAAGTAGGCCACTGTCTTGGACTGTCCACAGGAGTTGTTTCAGGTGACAAGTTAAGTAGGTCACTGTCTTGGACTGTCCACAGGAGTTGCTCCTGGTGACACGTTAAGTAGGTCACTGTCTTGGGCTGTCCACGGGAGTTGCTCCAGGTGACAAATTAAGTAGGTCACTGTCGTGGACTGTCCACAGGAGTTGTTCCAGGTGACAAGTTAAGTAGGCCACTGTCTTGGACTGTCCACAGGAGTTGTTCCAGATGATCAAATACATGTTGACGTTTACACAGAAAGAGAAGGAGACGATCACAAAAATGTATGAGAGGACCGAGAACAATATCATTGTGAGTACTGAGGGGAAGACAGGGAGTGTGTGGGAGGAAGGGAGTGTGTGAGAGCGAGAGGGAAATTTGGGGATCAAGGGAGTGTGTGGGAGGGAGGGAGTGTATGGGGTAGGAAGTGTGAAGTGTGTGGATGGAAAGGAGTGAGTGGGAGAAAAGAGTGGGAGGAAGGGAAGGAGTGTCAGGGAGTGAAGAGTACGTGGAAGGGAGTGTGTCGGGAAGTGAGACCATCACGAAGATGTATGAGAGGACCGATAACAATATCATGGTGAGTAACAGCAACTGAGGCGACTCGAGTCATCGGGTGAACAGGGAGAGCATGGGGAGGGAGAAATATGAGGGCGTTAGGGGAAGGGCGTGGGGAGGGAGAAGTATAAGGGCGTTAGGGGAAGGGCGTGGGGAGGGAGAAGTATGAGGGCGTTAGGGTTAGGTTTAGGTTTAAGGTTAGGCTTAGGGTTAGGTTTAGGTTTAGGTTTAGGGTTAGT